CACACACACACACACACACACACACAGGTACTCTGTAATATACCTTGGTAATGAAATTAATGTACCATTTATATGGTGCTACAAGGCACTTCCCCAAATAGCATGGTAGTACTATGGTGTTTTTTTGTATGTGTAGCATCATCATGTATTAATCAGGGGGGTGGGGCCAAAGGATGACTTTGAATGAGTGAATTATGTTAAGTAGTCAAAACTTAATTAAAATGCTAAAAGCACAAAAATATTTAATTATAATTAAATAAATTAAACAAAGAAAATGCTAAAAACGCAATTTAATTATATTAAAAATAATAAAAACTTAATTAACACGCTAAACAAAATATATTTAATTATAATAAAATATAATTAAAACACTAAAAACGCAATTTATACTACAATACTAAAAAGTTTATATTAAAATAATTGCAACTTAAAAAAAAAAAAAAAGCTAATTATTTAATGTTATTAAAAATGCAAAAAAAAAAACAAAACAAAAAAAATATATAATCAAAACTTAAAAAGCTAATGATATTCCTTTTTTGATATTTGATATGATATCCCTGCTAAAGATATTCCCAAGGAAATATCTTGGTCTTTGAATGTGTGTTGGACAATATGAGCGGTTTAGGGTCAAAAAGGTTGAGAACTGCTGGTCGAAACAAAACTCTGCACTGCATTGATGAATTAGTGTGCCATTTCAATTAGTTGTGTTTGAAAAAGGAAATCAAGATACTTTCTGTTAGATTTTTGTGTGTTACATAGAGAATTGTGTGTTGTGTTTTGCAAAAAGTGTTGAAAGTGAAAGTGGTTTTGCAGATTTGGTGTGTGCTTCTGCTGTCCGCTTTCAGAAATTGTGGGACAAGTAAAGATTTTGTAAGCAGTTAAAAAAAACTGTAAGTGACCTTACAAAAGTAGGCTACTCTGGTACAGTGGTGGAATACCATGGTATTACAGTTTTTTCAACTGCTTACACACAAAATCTTTACTTGTCACACAGTTTCTGAAAGCGGACAGCAGAAGCACACACCAAATCTGCAAAACCACTTTCACTTTCAACACTTTTTGCAAAACACAACACACAGTTCTCTATGTAACACACAAACATCTAACAGGAATTAATATTATGGCAAAGGTGTTTGCTTTTGAGATGTGTTTGTGGTATTTTGAATGCAGTGCTTCATTTTGCAAGAGATGTGCGTTTTGCATTTTGTGTGCAGTTCTTGGATTTGTGTGAAAAGTTTTGAAAAAAAGAGGCAAAGTGTGTGTAAGCAGTTGAAAAAAACTGTATGGCACAGTGATGGAAACACACGCTGATGCTTTGGGGCTGAAATAAAACGCTGTGTTTGTACCTCCATCACTCACAATGTAAACACAGTTCACCAAGGCTGTTGTTTTTACCTGCCTGGTGAAGAGGATCGCCGCGTCGTGGTGATGCTGATGATCGTCATCCAGAGGGTTCTGCTGATTCTGCCATTTACAGAAGCTCTTGAGCGTCGCGGCGGCGTTCTTGGACACCTCGATGCCCTTCTCGTTCTCGGACAGGATCGCGACTTTAACCACCGACAGGCGGATGGGGTTCTCGATGCTGGCGTGGCCGTAGAGTTTGGACGCGATGGACGCGAGCGTCAACAGGTAATGGTGCAGGTCCTTCCCGTACTTCTTCGTCATGGACGCGTCCGCGACCAGCAGCAGCTCCACGTGCCGCGCGCGGGACACGGAGCGCTTGCGTCGCGTCAGCGCGTCGCGCTTAGTGAAGAGCGTACGCGCGTTCCGCGCTTTGCGGTCGCGCGTGCCGCAACTGTGCCGCGCTGGCATCGCTTCGAAATCGAAGCTCTCGCGCGTGTAATAGTGGAGAGCGCGCGTCGCGTCGGCTCGGATGAGCGGCGTGACTGTGTACCGCGCGTCATCCACTGCGAAAAACCCGTCGAGTCCGCCGCCGCACAGATTGAAAAGCGCAAGCGACTCCGCGTTTGAGTTGACAGTGCCGCGGTAAACGCATTCCCGACGCGGCGGCGGCGGCGCGTCTGCGTTCAAACTGAAGTGATGAGACAGTATAGACTCATCCCGCTCCATATCCAGCTGAAAGCGCTGCTCGTCTATGTACAGAAGATAACCCGCTTTTCCTCCTCCGTGATAAATCCGATCCACAGTGCGCACCACGCCGCGGACAGGTGCGAGAAGAGACGCGTTCGCAGGTGGACGGAACGCAACGGAACCCTCCAGAGCGCAACACAGCAAAACGATCCGCCACATTATTCCATACAGTTCAGTCCGGTGCAGAAAACTTTTGGAAACATTACGATCCGAAACGCAGCTTTAAAACGACTTGCGTGAGGAATTGGAGCTGGACTGATCCATGTCCCGGTGCGCATCTCACGCGTCACGGAAATAAGCGCATGAAGGCAGGATGAGAGAGGAGCGAGAACTAAAGTGAACTTGGAGAACAAAACACAAAGTTTCCTCTTAAAAGCACCAGAGAGAGAAAGAGTCCTGCCCCTTTGCGCTCGCTCTCCACTCCAGACCTCCTCCTCTCATTCTTTCCCAACTCTCTCTCTCTCTCTCTCTGTTTGTGTTCACTGTACAGGTTCATCTTTGTTAGGGGCCAAATGTTTGAAAATGTCCTCACAAAAAGGGCTTTTTAAATCAGCTTCAACTCTACCTATGTCAAGAGGTTTTAGTATTAGGGTATAGAAAACGCACTATTATCTTAGTACGAACAAGGCAGTTGCATGTGTTATAAATGTGTGTTTATGTGCAAATCAATGCAAAGTCAATGAAATACTGTGTTTCGTCATCCTGATGTTCTGTTTGCGTTCTAAAAGACACAAAACGGACTCAAAATCATCATATTGAGGACTTTTCTTTAAGGAAAAGGACCCTGGAGCACAAAACCAGTCATAAGGGTCAATTTTTTTAAATTGAGTTTTATACATCATCTGAAAGCTGAATAAATAAGCTTTCCATTGGTGTATGGTTTGTTAGGATAGGACAATATTTGAAAATCTGGAATCTGAGGGTGCAAAAAAA